CTCTGTCTAAGCAGGATTTGACAGAAGAAATGTAAGTGAAAAATCTTTGTCTAAGCTTTGTTTGGAACACTCGTCAAACGAACTTCTTGTGCTTGATATGAAGTGCAGCATAACATTGGTGATTTGCACATTCTTGGACTTGGGAAAATGAAGCATAAAGTTCATTTTAATTTTATACATGAATCGAGTATTAAGCATCGGTTTCTGCCGTGCAGGGATCTCAAGTCCATTACTGATAGGGAAGTTTGCTGCTTCATGATTTCCTGCAAGAACTCCACCAACATCGATACAGTCATCGACTGGCTAGTAAAGCATTCCAAATCAAAAAATTGAGTTTTCTTGTTCGTACCAGATGACATACTTCCATTTCTGAGAGTGGATTTCCTTCAATCCCTTTTCGAAGTGACTTTTGCTGTTTGCCCATTAGGGTTTGTTGATATATGACCATGGTCTTCTGTTATGTGCTTGGTGCAAACTACCTTGTGTGTTGCTTTGGGGTAGGCATATGGGTCATTGTCTCAATGTTGGAAGTTGGAACGCTATGATTTGAGTTTTATTGTATAGAATTTGACTCTGTGAATTGTAATGTACAGTCGTTGCATATGATTATTTTGGTTAACTAATTTGAGTCTCTGAGTTATGTAATCTGCAGTGTTTGGTTGCCCCTTTCTTTCTTTTACCAATTAAAATTGTAGATATTAAAACATCTAGCTAACAACCAGCACTCAACAATCCCAAATTCCTTTTATTCAACAACTATTCTCTAGAAAATTTAAACTTCAGATCTCTTCCAACAAAGTGAATATTAAATTTCACTAGATTATATCAAAGGACCATTAATAATAATTCAAAACTTTCAAACCAAGAGTAAGATGTTGGTTTTTGGTCACCAACGGGTTTGATAACCCGCAGTTGTACCCTTAAGGCATGTTTGTTTCTATGTTTTCAATTTGAACACTGAGATACTTGGGATATTAAAAAATTTTTGCAATGTGATTCCACTGTTAAGTGATGATATGCAAACGAGACCCGCTTCTTTAAACTTAAATTAATTAAAATATTACAATATACTAACTTGTTCTAGGACATTCCCGCTTCACGTAGGCGAGAAATTCAAGGCTAAAGAACACCCACGCGGCGCCAAAATATAAAGCCGAGTCCAGAGCCCACAGTGAAAGATTAAAGATTCCTTTCGGCTTTAAGGCTCCTTTTCAGCTCAGAACTTTAAAAACCCACCACCCAAAAAAAATTCGAAAATCTCATTCATGTCTTAAAACTCCACACAAACTCAAACCGCAGAATCCCATAATTTTCTTTTCCTTTCTCTTCTGTGTTTTCTTTTTTCTCAATTTTCGGTCAGCCCACCATTTTTCTTGTGTGTTGAAGTTGATGATGAGAAAGATCAAGACTTGTTTGCAAACTTAGCTCAGGTGAGAAAAAGGTGGCTTATTTGGGTTTCATAATAACATCTGCTCATGCCTTTTCGTTGTTTAATTGTTTTCGTGATATTGCAATTAAAAAAGTAATTGCTTTTGAAAATAGCATAGGTTTAGAGTAATTTGAATCCTCTGTTAGAATTCTGACCCCAAAAAAAATGAATCCTCTGTTAGAAGAAAAATATCGCCGACAAAAAAGAGGGGCATTCCGAGAATCGAACTCGGGACCTCTCGCACCCAAAGCGAGAATCATACCACTAGACCAAATGCCCTCGTGATGACAATTAATATCTGCGAATACTAATTAGCTTGATTCAGGATTGATTGGTTTTGTTTTGTTAACCCATTGATCCAGCTGTTTTCTTTTTTGCTATTTACATGTTTGATTTCTGAGGTAATGTTTTACCCTGAAGTTGGTTGTATGACTGCAACAATAAAAATACTTATTGAAGCTATAGATTTAACACATTCTTGCTTGCCAAATATTTATTGAAGCTATAGATTGAAAACTGTTTTTGAGTTGATTTTTAGTTCACATGCTTCATGCTTTGTAAACTGTTGGAAGTGTGGCATTCATTTCCTGAAACAACTTGAACTATGTCCAAGCAAGATTCATTAGACTAGATCAACCGCGTTTCGAGAATCGAACTCTTCATCTTTTGCATCCAGATCAAGTAGAGTAAATCATATGTTGCACGCATCACATGTTTTTTATAAGGCATTCTTGTGTTTCTATAGTTTCTGATCGAGTCGAGTGTTTTCAGTAATTTATATGGTCCTGATACTATGTGAGTGTGGGTGGATTTCTAGCTATAATGAAATAGGAACAAAGCAAAAAAGAAGGAAAAATATCCCCAAAACAAAAAATGGGGCATTCCGAGAATCGAACTCGGGACCTCTCGCACCCAAAGCGAGAATCATACCACTAGACCAAATGCCCTCACAATAGTAATGAACACCTGCAAATGCTAATTATCTTAATCTAGGATTGGTTTGCTTACAATTAAGTATTGATAGAAATCTGCATAAGTATTGATAAAATGTTACAAGTGGTCCATTTTGTGAAAGCACCTTTGGACCCCAACCTTGTATTAGTGGCATTTCAAGAATTGAAAACTCTTCATCTTTTGCATCAAAATCAAGAGGAGTATGTTCCATGGATCACATTTTGTTGTCAGGCAATTGATGTGTACTTGTCAACAACAAGAGAATGTGTTGTATAAATTTCTGTTCATATTCTTGTTGGCTTTAGCTGATTGAGTGATTTCAATAAAGTGTTTGGTTGAGCAATCATGTAGAAGGATACATTATGCAAGTATGTACATGGATTTCTGGGTAAAATGGAACAATAAGAAGAAGAAAAATTGGGCAAAAGGGGCATTCCGAGAATCGAACTTGGGACCTCTCGCACCCAAAGCGAGAATCATACCACTAGACCAAATGCCCTTACAATAGCAAGAGCATGTGTTGTATAAATTTCTGTTCATATTCTTGTTGGCTTTAGCTGATTGAGTGATTTCAATAAAGTGTTGTATAAATTTCTGTTCATATTATTGTTGGCTTTAGCTGATTGAGTGATTTCAATAAAGTGTTTGGTTGAGAAATCATGTAGAAGGATACATTACGCAATTATGTACATGGATTTCTGGGTAAAATGGAACAATAAGAAGAAGAAAAATTGGGCAAAAGGGGCATTCCGAGAATCGAACTCGGGACCTCTCGCACCCAAAGCGAGAATCATACCACTAGACCAAATGCCCTCACAATAGCAAGAGCATGTGTTGTATAAATTTCTGTTCATATTCTTGTTGGCTTTAGCTGATTGAGTTATTTCAATAAAGTGTTTGGTTGGGCAATCATGTAGAAGGATACATTACGCAATTATGTACATGGATTTCTGGGGAAAATGGAACAAGAAGAAAAAAAAAATTGGGCAAAAGGGGCATTCCGAGAATCGAACTCGGGACCTCTCGCACCCAAAGCGAGAATCATACCACTAGACCAAATGCCCTGTCAATGATATTCTTCATGTGCAGTATATAATTATTGTAATATAAGATTGGTTTTCTTTTGCCATCCTGTTGATCTGGTTTCTTTTCTTTTCTAGTCTACATGTGCCTGTGGATATGGGATCTGACCTTCAATGTAGTTTCTGTAACTGGTACAATAAATTACATAAATTGTGGACCACACAAGATGACTTATTTAATCAAAATGTCCTGATGTGTGCATTGGATCAACTTAATATAATATGTTTAATAAGACATTAGGATTTAAATTGCACCTCTACTCCACTCATTTGGGCAGAGGTTTGAAATTCTCAGTTACCCGGTGAATATTTATGTCAATCCTCTCCCCCAATTGCATGTACTAAGAAAAAAAAAATTAAATTGCAGATATGTTAGGGACAAAGATAATTGGAATTAGCTCCATACTTCAATAAACCTAATCTTTTGACAGAGGTCACGCCAATTGTTTATGAGTTTAGGCCCATTCGCAATTGCAAGTTTTTAAATTTTTTTTTGGGGCATGAATATCTCAAAGTTGAACAAACATACTCCTAAAAACTAAAAATAAAATAAAATAAGAAACAGAATAAATAAACATGTTCAGCTTACTACCCTTTGGTAAGGAGAAAATCCTTTAAGAGAAGGGGGCACCAAATTATAATTAGGCCAGTTCATGCACAGCTAAATTGTTCACATTGATCATTAACAAGCCTAAAGAAGATATAATCATAATTTATAATTATAGATGTTGACCCGAAGAATTATAATTAGGAGGGAAAAAGAAACCTGAACCCAGCTAGGAACTTCATGATGAATTTTGGTAATCGAGAAACCTCAAGGCCCATCATCTTTGAAAAAAGAAAAAAATATCGTGGGTGGTTTTTTTTTCTTTTGGCCCAAGAAAGGGTATAGGTAAAATTCACATGGGCAAGAATTCTATAATGAGGGCCTTATTTAGGGCACTTAGACGAAGTCTCAACTTTTAATTGTTGGATTCAATTGGTTAGTTTGATCCAACGGTGAAGATATAGGACTTTAACTAAGGGCCTTACTCTCATTATAGAATGACTCCACACACAGATATCATGAGGGTTTGAACTTATAATCACTTGAAAACACACCAAAAATTTGGGCCAATCCAACTAACACCTCATTGGCCATGGGTGATTTACTTATCAGCAATTAGGACAACAGTTTATCTACTATTTTAGTCATCAACATTAACTATTAACTTTTGTGCATGTTTTGGACCCAGCCATGATTTTGTTCATGGTATTTGCCAAATTATCATTCATAAAAGCCTGAAATTATAGGAAAATAGTAAATAAAAGCAGATATTATGACAAAAGAAAAAGGCTCGAAAGGATTATATTGATGAAATGGAATTGCTTTAAGTTCGGACAAAATGATTGCCGAATGGCCAGCCATAGCCATCTGTTCATCTATGAATTTTGCTTTCTAGTCACCCGCAATTCTCTCTCAACCACCACTTTTGATCTCCTTCCACTTTCTTCTCTCTAGTTTTCGATAAAGAGGCAGAGGAGTGAAAAACAGAGAGGGATTAAGGGAATTTTATTGTTTTGTTAATTAGGGATAAAAAGGCAAGCTGCTGCAGGCTCTCTCTTGGTCTTCATTTTTAAAGGGTTGGTTGGTGGTGAGCTGAGGTTGTGGATTGGAAGCCGTAGGCCATGGCTACCTTTGCAGGCACCACACAAAAGTGCACGGCTTGCGAAAAGACGGTGTACTTGGTCGATAGGTTGGCCGCCGATTCCAGAGTTTACCACAAGGCTTGCTTCCGATGCCACCATTGCACGGGTACCCTCAAGGTATATATATTCCCATGCATGTCAATCTCTCTCTCTCTCTTCATTATATTGCCAACGGATGTATTAATTTATTTAAGATCATACGTATATTTTTGTTCTCGCTATTTGTACTATCCTAATTAATCATGTCGCACACAATTAAGTTATACTTCTATTAGAGATATGGTACATAAGATCGTCAGTTTGAAGTTGGTGAATCGACAAAATTAGAGATTTTCAATTTTGTGTGCTTGTTTCATGCATGCACTTGAGGTGTCAATTAGACATTTTGATCAGTGCATGTGTGTACAACATTTTCATTCTGGAAAAATTTGTAAGGAAAAATGTATAAGTGGAACAATAAATTTTTTAGCTTTCTTCAATCCTAATGGTTTTGCTCTGGAAGGAAAGCTCAGTAATATTGTCTTCTCTATTTTCTCCATTTGCAGCTGAGCAACTACTGTTCATTTGAGGGGGTCCTATACTGCAGGCCTCACTATGATCAACTCTTCAAGCGAACTGGCAGCCTGGACAAGAGTTTTGAAGGTAAAATCTAAAAAATAATTAACGTGTGAATTCCTTAAAAGCACTATGTAAATAAATAAAAACTCATTTATTAAATTTTCTTTGTCAATTTTCTTTCAGGGACACCGAAAATTTTGAAGCCGGAGAAACCTCCTACTGATAAAGAGGTAAATGATCCCTCTTTTTAACCAAAGTGAGGTAAACTCAAAAAAAAAAAAATCCCAAGTCTCTCATATGGGACTTATGATATAAGTTGTAAGACCCATATAGGATCTTGTGGATCTTGTGGAGTTGATATGAATTCATGAATTGTCACTGTGTTGATATAAATTCAAGCACTCTAGAACCCTACAGAAAGTGACTTTTATTGTTTTGAAGATAAATAATTTATATGTGCTAATAAGAACTAAATTGGGCTCTTGCAGAATGGCAACTCAGTCTCAAACTTGTTTGCTGGTACCAGAGAAAAATGTGTGGGCTGTCAGAAGACCGTTTATCCAATTGAGAAGGTAATTAAATTTGAAATTTCACAAAAAGAAACAGCTATTATTTATAAAACGTAAACATCTAGCTAATCTTGATTATTGTCTTCAAAGGTTTCGGTCAATGGGATCCCATACCACAAGAGCTGCTTCAAATGCACACATGGAGGTTGCACCATAAGCCCATCTAATTATATTGCACATGAAGGCAAGCTTTACTGCAAACACCACCACATCCAACTCTTCAAGGAAAAAGGAAATTACAGCCAGCTTGAGAATGAAGGCGAAAAGCATTCCATGACTGAGCAAGTCACTGCTATGGAGATTGCTGCTGAATCATAATCCATTGAAAAAAAAAAACTCCCATGCTTTCTTGCTCTTTATGTGATTTCCACCATTTCTGTAATAGATGTGTCTTATTTTGTTTCTGGCTCTCGTGATACGTCGGTGCTCCGATATATCATGAGATTTATTGTACTCTGATATGAATGGTTTGTTCTGCGGCTTGTTCCTGCATCTGCTTAATGTATGAGGGTTTTTCTGCAGCATTTTGAAGATTTTCGGTTTCTTCTACTTTTCCCTGTGTTGGGTCACATTTCTGAAAAGTTTTAAGTCCCTAGTGACGTTTATTCATATTATCATTTGAGGAGGCTAAGGGAAGTCATTTTATATACCAGAACAGCTTTCATGTCACTTACACAACACGTATGATTAACTAATTGGATTACTGATGTAAAACCCCTAAAACGGTAATTTCCAACGGTTACAAATCACCAAGGTGAAGTAACTTCCAGTAAATAGGTTAATATGCAAAAGCACCATTCCAATAAATTAGCATGACAAAGGATTGCATCAGCTTTTGTTAGACAAACTCAACCCAATTAAATTATCAATATACTGTACATGAGCAACGCATATATACATCCATGCATGTTCTAAGTGGTTGAAATCCCTAATCACTCGTCAGACAACAGATTTAAAATACAATCGGTTACAAATGTACAATGACAAGCTACTGCATGAGCCGGTACTCAGCCATCCTTGACTGAGTTTCATTTTCACCTCTCCTTGTGCTGCAGACATTTTCTACTTCGTAAAGAACCATCGTTATCCTTCTCTCTTTATAGCCATTTACTGAGCACCAATTTCTTCAAAGGTACCAGTTTTGCTTGGCATTCAAGCCATCATCAGGATCCATTACCAAAGTATTTGTAGATCACTTGGCTTCTATCTCAGGAACCGGTTTTGCTCATGTTATCCTTCAATATCTGCGCTGCAAGTATTAGGAGCTCCACCATCTCAAATCCAGCAGCAAAAACAGAATCTATCTTCTCGTGGCTGGTCTCCCCAGAAACATGACCAGGCTCGTTGCTGAGACTATGATCATTGAATTCAACATCTGCGTCTGCTGACCAACTGATTGGTAGGGAGCTTCCAAGTGCAGTCTTCACTAGTTTTGCCTCGTAAATAATGTTGTTGACAGTTTCTGATAGGGTAGTAACCGTTGTACTTCCAGAAGTTACCGACTCTTTGGCCTACACAGTAGATTAAGGCAGAAACACTGAACACATTGACTTCACTATAGATAAATGAATACTGCTAAAACAGCCTAGCTTTCGATGGACAAACATTGTTTCGATGCTAGCAATTGATTAAAGAATATTATATAATGAAAGTTCACCATATAACAAAACAAGAACATCTTAACTTCCATCAGACCTTTGAAAGAGATAGACGAAGCCTGTGAACTGTAGTAGTCAAATGCTCCATACTTCCCATGCTTTCCCTAAGTGTTGCAATTTCAATTTTCATTCTGAGAGGACACGAAACAAGAGGTATAAAAAGGAATTTTGATGTCATATCTTCTAATGTCAGTGAATGAAATCAACAGTGACGCATACGCAAGAACCAAGCACCTATAGTGATGCATCATTCAATTCAAATTTACTCGAAAAACATTCACAAACCTGGCAAACTCCATGCTACTATTGGACCTCCTGTTCCCCTCGATATTTAGGCCACCTTCAGCTTCAATTCCCCTAGAGTCTGGAGGGCCAACCCAACGGCTCAAATATGTTTTCTTCAACAAGCTCTTTAGCCTTCCATCCCTTTCATGAGTAACTGCTTTTCGATCCCCACTTTCAGCAAGCAAATTTTCTCTATTTGTCTCCTGACCAATTCTCCTGCACATTATCATCGGTAGTACTTTCAAAAGTTACTGAAACAACATAAAGGCAATGAAGATAGTATACCCCTTGAAAAAAGAAGATTAGTGATAACATTCTCAATCACCAATCTAAAGATGTTAGGTTCCTTATGTCAGATTCGTAAAGTGTCATATAATCCTACATTTCTCAGTTCAATTTAACATTTGACCCGAACATTCTCTTTTCCCACAAAATTATCACAACTTCTAAATTGTTCATAAAATCTGGTCAATCATATACTATGGCGAATAATTTCTTAACGAGTATGATTTTACACGACTTATTTAATCAATTCCAATATTTAGTCTCATTTTAGGGGGTTTGTTCAAAGGCCCCAGGATATGTTCAAAAAATCACTAGGGAGTAAGGGAAAAATTTTGTGGGCGACTCATAAATTGCTAACTCGTCCAGATAAAGTGGTCTACTAAGTACTAACTCACATTGGCACATCAAACGCTCCAAAATAGAAATTTCCAGAACTAAAATTTTTCTACTTATCGTTTCCAGAAATTAATAGTGACAGAAATAACATCATTAATGCCAACATTTTAAACATAAAAGAAGAAATCTCACTCTTTAAGCTGGTGATAATCCTGCTTCAATTGTGCAAACTCCATTAGAGCTTTTACCTTTTCGTTGGTAACCTGAACCAAAAAGAATAATTGCACAGTTCATCAATGAACCCAAACAACATTACTATTTTAAGGTAACAACGAAACAGGCAAATAGATCTTTGAACAAAGGCACCAAAAAATTTATGCACATAATGGAATAACAAGGCAAGTGATCCATGAAGGTCACTTACCATCAAAATGCTTACACAATATGCAAATTAATGATACCATCAACAGATAAGGTTTCCTTTATATTTTCTTTTCTTGAAGAGAAATAACAAAGACCCTAATCCTATTGTTTCCTTATTATGAAATGGAGGTCAGATTTTTAAGTGAGAGTTGTCAAATTAACATGATAGTTAAAGTTCAATCTGTCATATATGTACAGTTCAGTCTTCCATGTGATAATTTATGACTTAGCAGCAAATCGCATACGGATAATGGCTGGGCAGTTCAGTCTTCCATGTGATAATTTATGACTTAGCAGCAAATTGCATACAACACCCCCCGAGATAATGGCCGGTTAGGTTTAGTTATATTCAGCACATACAAGTAATTCTGACAGACGAGCATTTACAGAAATTACCTGTAGTAAGTTTCTCTGAAGCTCTTCTATTTTTCTTTCAAGAGCAGATCTCACATTTCTGTCCAGTAAATGCCTTTCTTCCTGCTGTGATAAAAGCAATAACGTTGCAACCTGAAAAATATTCATGGTTGAGGGAAAAAAAAAAAAAAAAAAAAAAAGGAAGAACAGTAACCACAAATCAGGAGCATTCATGCCAAAGTGTCACGAAAAAGAATTATCAGAGATTTTTCCAGTAGGTTAAAGAAAGCAAAAACCTTATCTTGCAAGGCCTGTGCAAGGGCTTCAGAGGAATCGTTCCCTCGAACTGCCACAAATTCTGATAAGACAGGGCCACTATTCTGCAACCAATATGGAATATATAAGGAACAAGCAAATGTAGAGCACAGAGCAACTCAGTTTATAAGCACCCTCCGAGCTTCTTTTGCCTACTATTATTCTAACTAGAAAACTGAGTCCACCAGCCACAGATTATTATAGCAGAGAGCACTCTCAAGCACTCTAGTGCTTATCTTTGGAGTCATTCAGACTAAAAGTCCACAAAGATGTCTGGTGTCAAGCACCATTGATTGTTAGTACGCAGTTTCCTCCAATTGGGTCAGCGTTGCACCGCCTCTCCTCTCCCAACAGACAATAATATAACTTGAAAACAACACTATGCACAAAAAGATCAGTGGTCATGAGTGTGAGTCGACGTCAAAGTCGGCCAAAAGTCTACCAGTCCTATCATTTCAGATTCTCCTATTAATATGTTTCTTGTTTCCATTCAGCCTTTTAGTGTTCATCTAAGACAGAATGACACCTTGCTCTAATCAGACTCTAAGTGTCTCTTCTTAAGACCAGTATAATTTCAATTCAAGCACCACCTTCCTATTTTGAAGGAACTCCTGCATCGCTGTTCAATAAATAGCTCTACATCATAGTTAATGAACTACCGGAGATATGTGTTGAAACAACAATATGTAATTATCTCCTATTATTCCCAGCTTCCAAGAAACAAACAACTAACTGGATGTTCATAAGATTACGCAGTAAACTCTACCAATAATATATATTATTAATATGAAAGAGAGAGAGAGAGAGAGAGAGAGAGAGAGAGGAAAACAAGCAAGCATGCAGCAAAAACCAGCTATGAACAAACCTTGGATAACAACTGAGGTTCAGCATCAGCATTTTCATGTACATCTTGGCATTCATTTTTGTCTTGCTTTACATCTCCCGGAGGAGGCCCCACCTTTTGTAGTCTGCCCACATCAATTTGCCTACTCTTTTCCTCTATTGCATTACATATTGATTTGATACTAGCCTTTCCCTCATTAAGTAGATTTATTACATGAACTCTATGCTGAGAATGGTAATGATGCAATTCTGCAATTCCATTCTTTATCATTTTATCTGAAATGATCTGCATGTAAGCCACTCAGAGTTAAAGTAAGCAAATAAAACTGATATTGAACCTTTTCTTATTCAAGCATGTACTTACTTTTTTCTTTTCCAATTCACCAACTCTCCTCTTTAAATGATTTTCGATTTCCAAACCCTACATGTCACAGAAAAATACATTTTTGAAAAATATGCAAAGAAATTCAGTGTGCAACACAAAGCTTATGGTACAAAGCAAGTTCCTTACCACTTGTAGCCTGTTTCGAAGATTATCTACAGAGTTCCTCATCCTCTCAAGCTCTTCCTCTAATGCACTCTGTCTGAGGATAAGTTACTCAAGTTGCATACAGGACATACAATCTTAATCTAATTACTTTGACAAAAGTTTTAAATAGATTAATTCAATCTGGAGACTAAAACAGAAGGGCAACGTCCTATTTTGATTCACAAGATGCACAGAGAGAGCACAGTCAATCTATACTACTTTTCTAATCTATGGATTGATTATGCTTTTATGGATTGCCAAGTATTGATATACTAATTCTTATGTTTTATGTGACAAAACAAACTAGAAGATCAACCTGAAAGTTAGCAACAAAAATGAGAGATATACATGTGTCCCATAATCAGGAATCACATGAATCACGAGTTGAGAAGTGAGCTTTCAATTCGATTTAAATATAACCCACAACTTGTGTGAGTAGTTCAACCCAAAAGAAAGGCCTTAATCTATATTAAAGTTGAGACCAAATTTGAGCAACTAGTACAAATAACAGTCTTCTAACAAGAAAAGGAGTGTGCATTGACAAGGTATAGCTTGATACAGAACAGGTAAAGAACAAAGAAAAGCAAAAGAAACTAAACTAAAATTTATGATAACTCAACTTCAATCTTGTATTCCCAATATCAATATGCTGGACTATCATTCAACTACAGAGAGTGGCCTATTTGTATATGCAATCTAAATAATGATACCACAAGTACAACAAAAATATCAATTATACAAGTAAAGAACATACTGCCCCCACTTGATGAAGAAATGGCAACGAAAACTACTAACAAAACAAAAAGTAAATAATTAGACTAGTTACTAGTTTTTGGTGTATTCATTAAATAGGTATGTAGGCCACAATTTCCATCATGACTGCTCACAGATTAGTTGTTTTAAGTTGCCTATGTGTTTCCCTTCCCTTCTTGTTTTCAAGGCCCTCAGCAAAGAGATGTCGTATGTTTGGTAATTCTTATGTTACTCCTTTAGATCTACTGTCTCCACTAGCTCAAACTCAGGTTAGAAAGTAACGAGTCTGTGTTGACTGCTAGTTCAACCTCAGATTATATCAAATTTACACCTTCATGATGATAAAAATGAAAACCAGAAGATTATGAAAACTTACAATATATTTAGATGTTGAAGCATCATTGAAACTCCACCATTCTGCAGGATCATGCAAAAGACATGCACATTTTCTGTCCCAACTAGTATCCTGAAATCCCTCAGGAGAATGCTGCCTGATCTCATAAAACTTATCAATTACCTGTTATGAACATAATATCTACTATGAGAAAATAGGAAATAGGAAAAGTCGAAATTGGGAGTACCACTCAACAGAAACGCACTATGCAACAAAGAAACTAATTTGAAGAAACAACTTTAATATAAGTTCTAGCTATACCTTGAGCATATTTAAATCTCTACATAAGCATGAGATATGGTCTCTAACTACAAATTTTGAGAGGAAAGATATCTTGCTGATTCTTTGGGACTGAAAGTACAACTAAATATTAATATCTAATTTTTCAGGTCACGTCATACGAGCACGCATCAGATGTTTCTTAATGAAGACAACTTGTAGTAACACACATTTATAAAATCACCATGTGTCATACTATTCCAGTTTTTTTCCATTGCTATCAACAAAGAGAATATTATCGATACATGGGTAACATGAGAGAGAGAGAGAGAGAGAGAGAGAGAGAGAGAGAGAGAGAGAGAGAACAAAAGGATCACCTTCTTGAAACTTTCATTATGCTCCTCTTGCATTGCTAAATCAGTTTGCAGTTTATCATTAAGTTTTTTCTGCTCAGAACAATCTGCAGCAAGCTCTTCTAACCTGTACACAAATGTGATGCACCTCATCTTGAAAGAACTATTGCATTCACTCGCATTATAGTATCATCTTCGTTTTAGAGGATGCTAAAAACAGCATGACAACTGAAAGAAAATAATGAAAATGCCAAATCACAAGTTCCTAATGTGACAAGTAGATGCCCGAAATTTAGGGAACAGACAGCCAAACATAACTTTGGAAAGAAAGAAAAAGTACAGCATTTCTATGAGAGATATTTTTCTTTTTTTCTTTTTTTTTTTTTCCATGAGAGCGTTAACACTTGACTGTTTGTTGAACTTTCAAACAAAAGATCCACATCAGCTCAGTTCAACTTTTTATTTTGTAAAATTACTGCTTATAATCAATTCTCCATTCATGAAAGGATGATAGATACCTCTTCTCTATATCGCATAGTTTCTTTGACATAAGCTCCTCTTTCTCCCTAGCCTTCTCAGCCTGTGATAAGAAATGTAACATCTTTAAAACTTTTAATTTTTTTAATATTTCATGCAGGAAATCACTTAATTAGTGTTATACATGTAGCAAATAAGCTTAAAAGAATGGTGGTTGCCATAACCTCCATTATTGAATGATCTCGTTCCGCAAAAGCTGCAGCTACACAGCCCTGGAAAAACTTAAGCTGCTTCTCTGCTTCCACATTCTGGGCAAGAAATTCAACAAATCAGACCCAAGAATACAACAATGAAAGTAATTTGCATTAAATTCCATTATAAATAAGAAACGATTCTTATTTCTCTGAAAGATTCTGCTAGATATTGGGATGCAAAAGAGGATGCCATTATCATTTAATTTTCTCTTTAGATAAGAAAAGAAAGCCAGCGTTTCTCTCCTGTGACATTACTGTTCTTGTTATTGTTTGAACTCTTTTTTAACTTTCATCTTTACCAAATTTCATTAAATTGGATAGCGAATGCAGATGTTTGGTTACATTACAATGCAAAGTCTAGCTAAAGGAGTAAGGAAGGTAGGGGGTGGGAAGGAGGGAGTGGGAAGGGATGGTAAGAGAGAGATAGAGAGAGAGAGAGAGAGAGAGAGAGAGAGACAGACAGACAGACAGACAGACAGACCGACCTTTGCCACCTCTGCACTATGAAGATCAGCCAACTGGCCCTGGAGGTAGAAAGCACATGTATCAGCTTCCATAAGCAGGTTACACAAGTGAAGAAAGTTAAAGTACTCACTTTGATTCTGTAAGTCTCTGAAAGCTCCTCTTGAAGATTCACATTATCTCTAGTGCAAGCAGCTAGCTTCTTTTTCAAGTTTTCAATCTCCTGCTCCAAGCCAGCTGTCCTAATAGGCATTAAATTTTAATGCAAAACATATTTAATGTTTTCTTGATAATACCACCCCACGGGCCATGGGTGACAAATTTCCCTTTCCCGCCTGTCAATAAAAAGAAGAGGAAAATGCAAGGGAAAAGAACTGGATCATATGGGTAGGTAGGAAAATTATACCTTTGAAAATGCATCTTAGTAGCCACAACAAGGTAGCTTGGTCCAGCTTGTTGCATACACAACTGTTCAATGTCTTTGCGTAATTCATCACGCTCTGAAAAACATTACAATCCACATATTTTATCTTACATGTGAGTATAGACTTGACACTGGAATACAAGTCAAGGTCACAAACTGAACAGCATTGTTTACAGAAGCACAATTATATACTTGACGTGCAGCATTGCCATCTTCCAAGAGTTGACAAGTCTTATTATTTTGCAAAATAATTTTTTTTTTCTAAAGTGCATGCCAAAGAAAGAAAGAGAACGTATAAAAGCAGGTTTCAGACTGGGTTTTGGGAAAATTATGCAACTAGCTAGTACTGCTTGGTTATATCTTGGCAGTCAAGGTGCACCCAATACAAGTCAACAATGATTGAAAACATAACAGATTTCCTGTTATACATTGCATCACTCTAAAGTTGACAATTAAAGTGCTCGGTTAAAAGTAAGAGAAAGAAGATACACATGATATGCCTATAAATCAGGAAAACAGGAGAAGAGAGATTATTCTTTCCACTTCATCGTATTAGCCATAATACTCCAGTTGGTAAATCGATTTCTTCAAGTTTCGAAATGGGAATTATGGAAGTGATGCGACACCCTGATTTCTTTTTCATTACATTGAAACCTTAATAGACTACAAACTAATCCCTTCAGCCAAATTGTAGTTTTTTTACAAAAATCACTTAATATCCCCACATTTCGTTTCATGCAAGGTTTTTAGTGAAACAACCAAGTTGTCTGCTTCCAAAGTCGTACTAGTATTACCGTGACCTGCACATGCTTGCATCGAACACCAAGACTGACATCCCAAACTTGTAACTTTGACATGGTTATGTTTTCAAAGATGTAAGGAGGCTTCTTGCTACCAGAACCAGCAACACACCAACCTGCCATCCTGACCAAGCTAAACAGCTTTCGGTCCGATCCGTCATCCTTTTAACACACTTCAAGATGAACCTAATACTCATCTAATACCCACAACATCAACTCCCTAAAACCCATATTTATGCTTCTTTCAAGTCAATAAATTTACAAAACCAATTTTGAATTTTGCTTAATATATTGAGATTGGAGACCCAATAAATAGCACATACCTTGCTCCAGCTGATGAATGCGAGCCATCAAGGATTCCTTGTCGCTTGAATTTTCATCCATTGTCTTAAACAGAAACTGGGTCACGAAGTAAAAACCCATTAACACCAAGCAACAGAATTCAACATAGTCAAACAATTCGCACACTTCCTTCTTTCGGATTGAGGTCATTCACAGAATATATGATTCCAAAGTAGAAACAACTACGTTTCACAAGTTAGGTCTTGCAGAACCAGAATTCAACAAAATTAATAACAAAGCTCCATAATTTCATTTATACTATCAGTTCCATCATAAAACAAACATTTAAAATTGAAGGGTTTAGGTTTGTGGGTTGACAAAGAAACGGAAAAAAAAAAAAACACTATTTTTCTTTTCGTTTACCTGAAAATGGTTATAAGAACGACGAGAACAGCTTCAGACAAAAATCAGAATCAGGTTCAACAGGAGAAAGAAGTTTGCTTTCGTTTGCTTTGCTAGCTTGCTGCAAGAAACTCCGAATTGTTCCTATTGGCTAGAAGCCTGGAATCTAACGGGCCGAGGGGGGCGGTTGTTTTTTTTTTTTTTTTTTTTTTTTTTTTTTTTTTTTTTTTTTTTTTTTTTTTTTTTTTTTTTTTTTTTTTTTT